CTTTAATTTTATTTTCTTTTAAGGGCATGGTTGAGGAAATTAGGATATAATTATTATTCATTATTATTATGTACTTTTTTTAACAAATTTATCATTATGTACTTGACTGGAAAGTAATTGTGTTTATGGTTAGGCAAGTAATTGTGCACTTTGACTTACTTGTAATGTTAATTACTACCTTCCGTCTTAAATATAAGAGCCAGTTGACTAATTTAAGGAGATTAAGAAAATAAGTTAAATTAGTTATGTGTAATAAATAGGTGTTGTTTTTCTTAAAATAACCTTATTAATCAAGTGTCTTGGCTAGAACTACTATTATTTAAAGGAGTGTCTCGAGAAAAAATATACAAATATAAGAGACAAAGTGGATTCTTATATTTAGGACTAAAATAAAAGTCAAATAAGATTTTTTATTAAGGATCAGAGGTAGTATCATATTATACCATTGGCATCCGTTTGGATTTTAGAATGTTTGGGAATATAAAACAATAAAATGTATAGTTAAAAAATAATGCAATATCTCACCCCAAAAAAGTGCAATAACGATGTGGTTTATATACAGATATAATTCATAATTGGACCTACATATGTGATGCCCATTTCTAGCTACTAGGCTACTACCGTATGCCTTGGATTTAAATTTAATCAAGTATTTACACTAATTTACATTTAATTAAAGATACCAAATAAATTTGAATCCAACTTGGCTTTCTCAAATAACACACCAAACATACTCAAAATCAAACAAAACTAAATAGGCCCTTGATTGCTTGTGTTTGCTCTCTATTTGTATGGCTTTGACGCCATTCCTTTCATTTAAAAAGTTTTTAGACGCAATATTGCAAACTTCATGAGAGTACTTATAAATTATTATAACCTCAAGTTCTAATTATAAAACCCCATTTATAATTTATAAATAAGGTCTTAGAGGTAGTAATTATCTAACTCATATATGTACACACACTAAATGGCTAACTCAGAGGAATACTACACAACTTTTTAACCGTGGCTTTTTCTTTTCTTTTCTTTTCTTTTCTTTTTTTAAGAAATAAAACATTGGGAAGCGATGGTTTGCGAATCAAGCTCGAAGGTATAGGTTAGGAATTGATTTTCACATAAATTGAGACAAAATTAAATCAAAAAATTATAGTTAATTTATTAAATTTGCTCATTAATTGTAGAGGTAAAATTGATTTTTTTGGGGGTAAAAATGACATACATTATTAACTGAAAAGATAGCTAGGATATCTATTTATGTGGATCTCAGAATCAATCTTGTTAAGGAGGAAAGCATGCATAGATTATTAGGACAAATAGTTAGCCTTCCATTGGAATAATCCCAAGGCCTCAGTCTTTGAAAATATCCCACATTTTTTGGGATATGGAACAAAACTTAATAATTTTCAATTTTCCGGAAATTTTTTTTACGAATTTTAAATTTGATTATTAATATGAGTATTAGTGCTTAAAATTTTTCTAAATAATATATAAAGATTTGAATTTCAATAATGGTCTGTGTTGCTCAATGAAACTGTTGATTTTTTTTGGTGTTCTTATACTGCTTTTTTCTCATCGATCAAATGTTTATGATTCCTTAATTAATTAATACCATTAATCATACATTTCTCAACACATATACTCCCCCGGTCCTTAATATAAGATACATTTAACTAATTTGATTAGATTAAGAAAGTTAAATAAGTTAGTTAATTATAAGAAATATGACATATTTTTCCTAAAACACCACAATCATATTTCTTAATACCTCATCTCCCTCTTTCACTTGATTATAGTTGAGAGAGTATCTATAGGGGTAATTTAGAGAAAATTGATAAATATGATAAATGGATCTTATATTTAGGACCAAAACCAACTCAAGAATTGGGTCATATATTAAGGACTAGAGGAGTATAATAATATGGATCAACGAAGCTTATACATTGAAGAAGAAAGGACAGATATGAAAAAAATTTATTTACTATCACAGTTTGTTTTTATCATTTATGGATATGGTATAACTTTTAGAATACAGTATAATGAGTACTTATTTTTTATCCAGTCGAGTCAGTGACTCAACTGACACTTAACATTTACGTATTTCTTCTTTGAGTGTGAGGTTGCATGTTCAACTCTCTATAGGCATGATGAGAGCATAAGAATGAAAGTAAAAAAAAAAAATACTTATTCTTACTTCTAAGAACACATGCATAAGTACATAATTACATACATATATCTTATCAAAATTAAGGATGTTAAAGAACTTTTTTTTATTATAGATTTAATTAATTATAATATTTGGAGGGATTTTCTTGCCTTTTTGTGGAGATATCTATATGAGGGATAGATGATGCTTGGTGGTGATATGTCCAGGTATTTTTTGCTTACAGATTATAATATTATATGCTACAAATTTGAAATCTAATCCACATGTGACATATCTTTGAACACTTTATTAGGTCGTGGGATGGCCGAGCAAAGTAGATTAATTAATACTATATAATAATTAATAATATTCAGGCCGAGCAAAGTAGATTAATTAATACTATATAATAAGTAATAATATTCAAATTAAAGAAGAAGAACCAATCAAACGCATTTCTACTTTAGGTAAGCAATGGATCTTTCCTTTTCCTAAAAGGAAACAACCACTTGTCCACATTATTACTAATTAATTAACAATATTTTTTGTATAATTCTTTGGGCCACTTATTGTATACATTGTTTTTTCTTGATCATATTACTCGGTATTCGAGTAACTGACTAATCTGTGCTGACTGTGCATGACCATTGATGGATGGTAGACTCTCTCAATAAGTTTTAACCCACGCCGCATTTCCAGAGTTCAAACATTAGAAAAATCCCTTACCAATAAACATTTGGATGTAGAGTATGCTCTTCGAGTTAGATAATAAATATTTTTTTTTATCTAAACATAATTTAAGAAAGATATAACTTGAATAATATTATTAACTTCGAAAAGTAAAAGTCTAAAACGTAGAGTAATACCTAACCAGTAAAAAAATTAAGTTATCATGTAAAAAGATATTAGTTAAAACCAGTATCTAAAATTCATGTGATGCGTTATATCTCAATAATGTGATGTTGTTTAATTTCTCCATTTCCTTAAAGTTTTACCGATGATTTCATTTTCTAAGACCAATTTTAACTGATAAACACGATTTTGCATGAGAACAAAACCAAATACGTACAGTTTGAATTACTTCTGTTACCTAAGTTGACATGCCACTATTTTAAAGTAACACCCCCTCCCAATCCTATTTAATACTACCAACGGTCCTAATTATAATACCTCATTTATAGATTAGAAATGAGATTCTATAATTAGGACTGAAAGTAGGTAGCAAGGCACATGTTTTTAAGGAGTGCTCTGATCCCATCTATAAGATAACTTAAACATTGTATGAAATTTTAACTATATTTTTTTTATAGTTATCTCATTAATTACATGTTATATTAATACATTAAGTATTTCTTGCACACTTTTTTTGTTGCTCATTTTCACTTGTTTATTGTTTTTACTTTTTAATGAATTTTCAAATTTATATGATAAGATTTTTTATATATCATTTGTGAATGTTTCACATTGACGGTAGGGGTGGGGGAGAGAGGAGTTGGATGCGTTAACTGTAAAAGAGTGAATATGCTCCCCAACGTCGAAACACCACTGCAAGACGCAAGGAATGGGAGCGCTTACACGTGAGCCAATCATACAACGCCACTCACACACGAATCGATAATTGCGACTCAGTGAATCTATGCCATTGTTTGGGCCCCCACAAATTAGGGAGCACCTTCCCTTCCTCCTCTCACGCCATTGGCCCGCCTCTCACCTTCCAACACCCCATCCGAGATCCATTACTGCCTTTTTCACTTAATTATTCACTGCTCCCTCCGTTTTTTATTTATAAACACCAAGGTTAATATAAATTTTGATTTTTTTTATTTTATTTTTATTTTATTTTTAATCTTTTAAATTTTAAATCATAGATTTTGGTTTTTTTGTTTTTTTATAAACAATAATTATCATTCTTTTATTGTTTCTAAATATAAACAATATCTGCATATTGTTTTAAATTTTTGTAGTAAATTTCTTATTTTATCATATTAATTACTTATTTTAATATCTAATATATTTATTATCTTATTTTTCAAACTATTATCTCTTTCCATCCGCATTCTCTTTTTTTCATAATTCTTTTTATTATAACATTTTTTATTCTTTTTCTTATACTCTCTCTCCCTCATAAATAAAAGTATTTTGGAGAAAGAAATTCCAATTTCGAGTTACTTATTGTTTTTAACTATTTTTTGATTTATGTGATGGAATTCAAAGTTGCTTATAAAAAGGATGGAGGGAGTATAAAATATTACCTCCGATCCTAAATAAAAGAGTTGGTTGACTAATTTAAATAGATTAAGAAAATAAGTTAAGTTATTTATTTGTAATAAATATGTATTTTTTTCCTAAAATATCATTGTTAGTCAAGTTTTTTGGCTATAACTACCATTATTAAAAAGACTATCTTAAAAAAGTAAATATAATAAACAAAATATATTAGAATTTTATATGTAAGACCAAAATAAAAATCAAACGAAATCTTATATTAAAAACTGGAAATAGTATAAACAATATTATTCCTCCATTTCTTTTTTTTTTCAATTAATGTAACTAATCTTCAAAATTCACATACTTCTTGATTAAGCAACCGTTCTACAATTTTTTTTTGCACGTGAAATACAATTAAAATTTCCTCTATGAAAAATTCAAAACCAATAAGTGAAGCTCATCACGAGAAAAATAAAATTAAATCAGATAAGCGCTTGGCTCTTAGTAGGGCAGGGTGGGGCCACGTCACTCACTTATTGAGAGCGGGTTCGTTCCCACGCACCCAACACGCGCGTGTACGCCATGTCTTGCCCGCTCAAGTCACAACCAAAATATCTTGAACCCCAAACCTGACGTGTACTAAAAGATCTTAAAAAAACCAAGCCACATGGGCCCAACCTCGTGACTCTTTTCTATTATCATTACCCCTCCCGATGTACGCCACGTTATCCCCCCCCCTTTTGTTACTGTACATGCGTCCCTTCATATATTACCGTGCTCCTGCATCGTCCAAAAAGCAAGCGTCCCTCGCCTCACCTCGCACAACCACAGACCCAGGTTCAGTAAGCACTTACTGTCTCTGCGTACTTGGCTTGGCTTGGCTTGGCTTAAGCTTTAGGTTTTGCTTTCTTTAATGGGATGGAGCAGAACGACGTGATTCCACCGTTTGTTATAAAGACTTTCCATATGGTGAGCGATCCCGCCACCGATGCTTTTATCACCTGGGGTCGAGGCAACAATAGCTTCATCGTCATCGATCCTTTGGATTTCTCTCGGGTGATCCTGCCTGCATATTTCAAACACAACAACTTCTCCAGCTTCGTTCGTCAGTTAAACACCTACGTGAGCGCCTTCATCATCCATCAATTTCCCATTCTATTTTTCAGCTTGTTTTTGACTGATTTACTGTTTAAATTAAGCAGTTCTGGCCGATTGAATTTTGTTTGTTGATTTGTGTGATGGATTAGGGGTTTAGAAAAGTGGATCCAGATCGGTGGGAATTCGCGAACGAGTGGTTCCTTCGGGGGCAGAAGCACTTGTTGAAGAATATTGTGAGGAGGAAACAAAGTAGGAGTAGCTCTTTGTTGTTTCAGGGGAAGAATGAAGATGTGGAAGACGAAGCGTTGATGATGGAGATAGCGAGGTTGAAGGAGGAGCAGAAGTCGATGGAGGAGGAGCTTCAAGGAATGCATAAGAGATTGGAGACAACAGAGAAACGACCCCAGCAAATGATGGCGTTTCTGTGCAAAGTCGTGGAGGACCCAGATGTCCTTTCTCGTATTTTGTTAGAGAAAGAGCAGAAGCAATTGGGAGAGAAGAAGCGGCGGCTGATATCTTCATCGCCGTCGTCTTCGTCCGGTATGGCGGCGGTGAAGACAGAGTTTGAGGAAGAGGAAGCTGCTTTGGGCGCGATAATATCTTCGCCGTCGCCGGAAGCGACTACTGGTTTTGAGTTTGGTCGTTATAATATGGCATCTCCGACGGAGGAAACAATGATATGCGGCGCCGATACGAGTTCGGGTTGGTGGAACGAGAGAAATGATAGTATAATGGTGAGGCCTCGGATATATCAACACGCTTATAATTATTGCAACGCTGGGTCCCCAACGCCGTTGACGGCGGTTGTGGCGGCGAGGTCGATGTCGGCGCGTGAGGGAGAAAGCAACTCGGCGAGCGAGGAGCAAAGGAGCTACTTTACAGAAATGGCGGCGGAGAGCAGTCCACGGCCACCTTATCCATTTTCGCTGTTGGAAGGTGGCTTCTAGCTATTAGCGTTGGCTTCACCACGATTATCTGTTTTTTTTTTTTGGGGGACTATACACAGTGATTATCTTTGATTTCGCCATTTGTGCTAAATTCTGATTCTATATGTTCTCTTTTTAATTACTTGTTGATATTTTTATGTGTCTTGTCTCTTTCCATAAAACAGTTTCATTTTAATGAAAAAGAAAAAATCTTTATGTATTGGTTATTTTTTTCCTATGAACCGTGTGTATTACTCCTCCGGTCCTAATTATAAGACCCAATTGACTTATTTGAGAGATTAAGGAAGTAAGTTAAGTTGGTTATTTATAATAAATAAGTGTTGTCATTCCTAAAATATCCTTGCTAATTAAGTATATTGGCTAAAACTATCATTATTAGAAGATTATCTTGGAAAAAAATGCATAAATATAAGAGACAAAATGGATTGGGTCTTATAATTAAGACCAAATAAAAAGTTAAATTGGGTCTTATAATAAGGACCGGAGGAGTACTTAGGTTTAGGCTTTGACCTTTTAGCCTTCATCCTGTATTTATCCTCCTTTTTTTCTAATTTATGTGGCACTGATACCAATATTTCAGCAAACAGCAATATGGCTTGCACCTTAACGCGTGGGATATTAAGGGTTTGTGTTGGTTAATATTTGTAAGTGTGTTTTTTTTTAATATCAATTTATTTTTATAAGTTAAAATTGAGATAAAAATTAATTAGTGTTATGTGATTTATTGTTGGATATGGTTTTGTAGAAAGGTTTGTTGGACAAAAAAAATTTTTAAAATTGTTTAGATGATATATAGAAAATTTAATTTTAAAATTTTCAAATACCAAGAAAAATAACAAAAGGTCAAAGTATAAAAAGTTGTTTCGATTTTAAAGTAGTTTTTTTATTCAAAAAATTTTAAAGTAGTTTTTGTATAAAAAAAAAACTCATTTGTTTTGTTCTATTTATTCAACTAGCGCTTTTTTCATCCTTATGATCCAGATGGTAAAGAGTTGGTTTATAATCTATAAGGTTGTGAGTTAGAATCTTGCTATCAATATAAAAATCTTGTTAGTGAGTAATATGTAAGTATCTCTGTAAGCGTTCTTTAAATCTAGAAGTATGCTTTAACGCTGATGAATCTCTAATATTCAACTCACCTAAACTTTTTATAAAAAAAACTAACTTTTTTCTTCTGTTGAGTTTTCAATGTTATTCCAAACATGCTCTCATAAGTAGTTGCGGGAGGTCAAAATAGAAGCAGAAAAATAAAATGAATGGATCTATTATTTTTCTGTCTTTTGTATTTTTTTTATCTCTTATGGTCATTGTATTATTAATTAATTAGAACATAATATATGGAGATAAATTTATCTCCTACACTTTGTTTTTCATTAATAAAATGAAAGACGCACAAAATAATATCAGGGAAAAAATTGCATGAGATTCATTCTTAGAAAAAGAGTTGGTGAGTTGTATTTAAAAGTGGTATAGAAGAATAATCTTCTGAATCATGATGGCATGCTTATATGAGGTAGACAAAAAATTTATTATGATATCTTCTCCTTTAATTCAACTCTCTATCATGATTTTTATTTATAGATATTTTATTTTCGAGCTTTTTGTATCCTTGTTATTAGAATTTTTTATTTAATTTTGATTGTATAATTCATTATTTTTCAAATGCAAAAAAAAAAAAGAATTTTAACAGTTATTAGAAATACTAATATTTTCTCAAACATCATAAGAGCTCTAAATTAAAAATAAATTGTAATATTAATGCAAAATTGGACGAAGTGTCCTTTAACTTCTATATTTTATGTAAATAATCTTCCCAACCTTTAAAATTCTACAGTAGACCTTCCTAAACTTTTATATTTTATGTTGATAACTCCTGTATTATTTGTGTTATTCATTATCTATTTGTAAATGGCTTAAAGTTTAATGAATTTATTTATATTAATTAAAGTTTGAGAGGATTATAGGCATACGAAAATAAAGTTTTGAGGAGTATGAAATTGATAGTGTGAGGTTATTTAAATATAGGAGAGATTTGTTATAAAGTTTTAGTCTAAAGATTAGTATGATTATTTACATATGACATAAAATTTAAGGAATTTGGTGCATAATTTAACATAATATTAATAACCTGACTTGCTTTTAATTTTTTATCATGATATTGTAACCTTGGAATATTTGATTGCAATTAACATTAATATATTATAAGTATTTCAAAAATAGTTAGCTTCTCACAATATAATAAATTTAAATCTTTATTTGCAATATTTTCTCTGAACAGACACCCAAAATGTGGGAATAAGCCAATGAGGAATAGTGGATGGGGAAAAGCGGAAATGTCAAAAGAGGCCCCTATTGGTTGAATTAGGGAAGGTGACGATGGACGCACGCCACAAATCCATCACGCGGGACCCACCATGGGCCTCACGGTAATAATGCAATTTTACCTTTTAGGTGGGGACCACGAGGCACACGTGGCGATGCCCAGGCCATCACTAGGGGCACTGGTGGACAGTGGTGGTCTGTCACGCACACCCCACCAAGGCATGGTCATCGATCACGGATAATGGGCCATGTGGTCCCACCAAGCGCCAGCCCTACAGCTCACAGCCACATGATTCCTCTCTGTGCCCGAGTTTTTTTTTTAACTATGATTTTATTTATTCATGTGCCCCTCAAATTTATTTTGATTTTAATTTCACTCTTTAAATTTTAAATCATATATTTTCATTCTTCTTTTTAAAACATTGATTCTTATATAACTTGGTAAAAATCTGAATCATTTCACTCTTACAGGACTAAAGCTCATTATTTAAAGTTTAAGGGCTTGAGGGATCAAAATTATATAAATCCTTTATTTATTTATAATCATTCATGTGTGGCCACATTATACAAGCGCCCTCCCTAGTTGGATCCGCATCTAATCCTGTCTTTTCAATTCTTGCAATGCCCTATTGATATACTTTTTTTCAAAAAAAAAATCAATTTTTATATTGAATCAGTAATTAGTATTTTAATAAATGTGTCGTACATTTATGAAACCCCACCCTTGACATTTATTGAAGTTTTAAATTTGAAAAACGTGGTTACATGAAGTTAAATTTTGCTCCCCCCTGTTAACATATTGGGAAAATCGCAACAAAAAAAAAAGAAGGGAAAATCTCAAAAAAAGTCCTTGAAATATGGGAAATGTCAGATTGGGTCCTTAAATTTCGAAAATGACAGAATGGGTCATTGACCCAATCTGTCATTTATGAAATTCAGGCGAATTGACAATTTTGCCCTCATTTATTCATTCACTACAATGATTCAAGGAATCACTATAAGAGTTTAGGTGTTACCTAGATTCGTATAGCGAATAACTATTCACTTTTTCATAGTCAGGTGTCTTGTTATTAACTACAACTAATGCTGTAATCACTAGAACAATGTAAGCATTACCTAAATTTGTGTAGAGAATAACTACTCATTTTTTCATAGTCAGGTATCTTATTATTGTCAGGTACCTTATTATTAACTACAACGAATCTTGTAATCACTAGAACAGTATAAGCGTTACCTAGATTTGTTTAGAGAATAACTACTCACTTTTGCTCAGGGGCAAAAATGTCAATTCGCCTGAATTTCACAAATGACAAATTGGGTCAATGACCCATTCTGTCATTTTCGAAATTTAAAGGCCAAATCTGAAATTTGGTATATTCCAATGGCTTTTTCTGGGATTTTCTAAAAAAAAAAACTGTCAAAAATAGAAAAATTACAAATAAGGATCCGTTATAACATTAATATGTATTTTGATAATAATAGTATGAGTTTTGACAATATTTTTTTGTGAAATAGTCTTTGTATACAATTTTTTTAAAATTTCAGCGGTTTTTTTGGTGATTTTTCCCATATATTACTAACTAAATAATAAAAATCAAAATGTTGATTATTAAAATTAGTTAAGAAGCAATAAATATGTAAGAAATAATTTTTTAAACCTTATTTATTGATCAAGTAAATGAGAAATAATGTATGAAAAAAATAGAAAGAGAATGTATAATAAGTGATATACTGTTAATAAAAATAAGAAGAATAGATTAGAATTTCAGATGAAAAAAAAGGGTAGCTTATATTAGGACAAGACATGTCTCAAAAAGTGTAACTTAAGATGTAGAAAGTAATATCCATCTCACACGCCATGAGGGCATAGTAAAGATATCATTGTTGTCTTTGTAGTTTTGATAACGAAGATTATATTCAAGTATTTTCAATTATGTCTTCAAAAAAATTTACGATCAACTCAAGTTGCTGAAGCTGTTTTGGATGCTAAAGCCTTCGTTAGATGAATGATCTTCAACAATCTTGATTAACAGTTTTAGGTTTTGTGTTAATGATAATGAATACTTTGTGTTGGGAAAAAAGTCAGATAATTTTTGGAAGGAAGAACAAAAAGGGCGAAAAAAGGTCAAAAAGTGATAATGGCTTATTTGGTTTCGCACTGTTCTTCACCCCATGATTTGTTGATCTTATGTATATTTTCAAGGACGCAGGCCGAGAAATCATTTTTAGGTACGATTTTATATCTTTTTGATTCTTCGTAGGGCTAGTTAGGCCCATTGATAAATGATGATGGGCCTTTTCATCCACACCCAAACATCATTTCTTAGATGTATTTCATTGTTCTTAAATGCTACATTTGACCAATAGGGATTGGATCTGACAGAAAAGACTAGTCTCTCATAACATTTTGAGTCAAGATTTGAATTCCCAGTAAAAAAAAAAGTGTCCATATTTAGTAGCCGCCAATGCCTTGAACATGATTGCCTCTGATAAGATGATACCTATACTTACCAGAAAAGAAAATGCTACATTTGGAATTCTCATAATACTCAGATATATTTAGCATTCGACAGTATTTCAAATGAAATCGCTTGTAATAAAAAAAAATACCTGGGTGCTAGCAAAAGAACTTGTGAAGTATAAAATTCTTAAAAACTGAAACGACACACAGTTCAATCCATTGAGAATTAAATATTCTAAAAATTATTTTGAAAAAACACATATGGGTTATTTAATTTTTGCTTGGGTCAAAAGTAGTTTTTGTTTAATTGAGGCAAACATAAAAAGCATAAATGGGTTCATTCTGAGAGCATCATTAGGTTCCCATTTCACATGAAAATGACTTGAAAAAACAAGAATGGTGGTGGGATTAGATATGACTACACATATTATTAG